TGTGTGTGTGTGTGTGTGTGTTACTGCAGATGTTGGTCATGTTACTGCTGCAGATGTCAAGTTCTTCAGTGTCATTAATAATGGCCTGATTCCGGTAATTAATCACAACAGCAACTGTCTGAGATGTGCAGATCCTCTCAGTGTTATGATTATGATAATGTTTGGGCAGCCATAGATGTGTCATGACACAGCAGTAAGGAGCTGTTTCTACCTGATCTGACCCTACAGTGACCTGATGAGCTCAGCTTGGATTCAAGTCATAAGCACAGTTATTTTGGTCAGTATTGAGAGCATGATTATTTACCACCATTATTCACTGACTTTGGAGGCATGATGCATTTATTGAACTTTTTTAAATCGTGGATTTCCTTCAATGTAATTAAACAGAAAAAAAATATATAAAAATAAATATTTTTAATTTTAATTATATATAATACACACTCGCACACATTAAAAAAAATTATATAAAATAAAACAATATTTTAATCTCAATTATGTTGTTTTCATAAGCCAAAATCATAATGGAAAATAAAGTTGATTTAATCGCCCAGCCCTAGCTCAGGTTCAGTCATTTAGATGCTACTACATGCATATTTCAGATTATTTGAAATAACATGTTGGTTTTAAGTTCGTTAACGTTCCTGTTTGATTGTGTAAGTCAGCGCTGAACGTTCAACACGCATGTTTTACTTCCTAATCACAGAATGCAGAGCCTGAGCTTCTGTCTGACTTTAGATGCAAGCGTTTTCCACCCAGATGGTGAAACTAGTCACTCATACACTATATCTGCTTCTGTGCAAACTATATTAACCCTTGTGCTGCTGAAAATCCTTTACCAAAGTGGTGTTCTCAGTCAAAAATGAGCGGCGATTTAAAAATTGCTTGTAAAGCTCTCGTTATGCCATATTATCACCAAATCTTGGATTGTCAACTTCATTTCTTTCAGTTAGCTCAGTTTTTGAGAAAAAGCATTTGAAGACAAAACAATAGTTTAATTTTGAAAGAAAGTAGTGTAAAGTGCTGCACACTGTGTGTTTGTGGGTTTATAGAGTAACGGCTGATATCGTGATGTCTCATGTGCATCAGAGCAGGAGTAAAGAGCTCCGTGTCATTAGTATAGAGACAATTAAAGAATCGTTAGAGTTCAGTGCTGCTCAATGAGCACAGCAGGTCACAATCGTTCCAGGCCGTTTTGTGCTGGAAATAGCAGTCGCACCCGCTGTGATGTGCTTTAGCAAACATCGATGGAGTCCGACTGTTAGAAGATGTGAGGATCACGTCCATCCAGAGTAGAGATAACAGATTACAGATTACAGATACATATGAAGCAGCTACCGATGCGATGCGATACTATTACGATGCAGTGCGATCCGATTTCGATTCGATTCGATACAATGTGATACAATGCAATACGATGCATTGGGGGGAAAAACGATGCTATGCAATTCAGATAGTTTGCTTTTATTTCTTTGGTTCAGACAGATAGCCGTGTCAGGACATGCCTCGGTCTTCGTAGTGTTGTTGTGATGCGTCAGCAGTGGTGATAAGAGACAGTTTAGAGAGGAGAAATCAAATATTGTTCACTTTCTAAATAATAAAAGTATAGCGCATCTACTAATAATTATATTAATTGTTTTTTACCGCGATGCAAATATGTTAGAAACAATGCATCATGATATAAATGCCAACTTGTATCCGGTGCTTTTATGCCGATGTGAATCGTGCCGAGTGATCAGAGATCAAGAGAGTCAATCCTGCTTTATTTGGGTGCTACTGTACGTCATGTTTCCAGCTTCACATTAAAGGAATAGTTCGGCCAAAATTGAAAATATGCTCACCCTCAGTTCATCTGAGATCAGGATGAGTTTGTTTCTTCATCAGGTTTGGAGAAATGTAGCACTGCATCAGTGTCTCAGCAATGGATGCTCTGCAGTGAATGGGTGCCGTCAGAATGAGAGTCCAAACAGCTGATAAAAACATCACAATAATCCACAAGTAATCCACAGCACTCCAGTCCATCAGTTAACATCTGGAGAAGACAAAAGCTGAAACTAATCCAGCATTAAGACGTAAATTATGAGTCCATAATCCATAATAATGCTTTCTCATGCCAATCTCCAGTTGTCTCTCACATCAAAATCCAGCCACATATTAGTTTAGAGCTGTTTAAACACTGCTTGATCTGTGCAGATTTCTCTCCTGATTCACACCAGAACACTTTTTCACTGGAGGAA